AACTTCCGATGTGGGATAGACTCTAACAGAATGATTTTATTAAAATTATATTGCCCCACATACAATTAAAAATTTAATATAATTAATGATTAAAATTCATGTAGCTTAAATATGCCCAAAATTTTACTACTATATGTTACTTTTGTTTTAAAAAATATTTTCATTTTGAATGCGTTTAACACTCAAAATGACAAAATTCTCAGTGAAACAAACATTTTCACTCCCGCACGAGTCAAAAATGCATTATCATATACTCCACGCTCTATTTGTGAATCAGTCTTCAAATCACCATTGTTTTTTTCTCGACACGTCCACTTTTCAAATGTGAAGTACGAAGATAAGTTCAATATTTTAATCAATTTATAGGCTCTTCTATATACCTTAAACTCTTAACTTCCAATATTTCTAATTCTCGGTGTTTCTTCTAGATTTTTTATGTTTTTTCCAGTTTCTTTAAGTTTAATTTTTCCGATTTCTTCAAATTTCTTCCAATTATTCTCATTTTCTTCAAACTCTTTCTATTCTCCAAATAATTACTCTAAAAATGATGTATTTTTAATGTAATTATTATCATTACTATTATTATTATCATAATAATAACAATGATAATAATAATAATAATAATTTATATTATTATTATCTTCATTATAGTTATTATTATTATTACAACTATTATATTCATAAATATAGTTTATAAATTATTTCATTTTTTTATTTTTTAAATGTCAGTATTTTTGCGAAAGTAGATTTTTGTGTATGAAAATTGACAATATTTTTTTTATCTTAAAGACATTAATTAAGATAGAATGATTATGAATATAATAATAATAATAATAATAATAATAATAATAAAATTAGAACAACAACAACAAAAATGAGAATAATATAAAAATAAACATCCAATTTTAGAACTTCCATTAATTAAGATAGCATGATTATGAATATAATAATAATAATAAAATTATAACAACAACAATTAAAATGAGAATAATATAAAAATAAACTTTCAATTTTTAGACTTTTCAATTTTTTCTAGTTTTTCTAATTCTTCCAGTTTCTTCTAGTTTTTTCTAGTGTTTTCCAGTTCCTTCACATTTCTTCCACCTTCTTCCGGTTTTTTCCAGCTCTTTTTTTATTGATTATTTTTTTATTTTTGTAAACTATTCGACCATTCCCAAAAGCAAAAATTTATATAACGGGTTCCTTTTTTAATTAGGCTTAGGGCACTGGTAATACCGCTCACGCCCACCGGCGTGATAGGCGATTTTAACGCCGGGGGGCGTTAAACACCGCCCCCCATCGGCATGAGTTAATCGGCGTCACTCGTTTGACGCAATCCCCCTCCCCCCTAACGGCTAAATTAGCCGTTGTAAACCAAAAAAAATTAATTAATTTTTTTTATAAATTTCAAACTCCCCCCTCCCATTCTCACACCTTCAATCTTCTTCACACATTCTTCAATTTCAAACTTTCCCCCTCTCTTTTGAACATGAATCCTTCCGCCTGTGACTTCTTTCCCGACAATCTCGCGCCTCACGATGCCGCGATGTGGTATTTTCAAGAATTTGGGGATCATCCGCCGATCTTCGAGACGCAACAATCGGGGTATGTCGAGCGAGATTTGGTTCCGGAGACTCAACCGGAACCATCCGGCTCCAAAAAAAGTACACGCCGGAAAAGCCACAAAGCAAAAGGCACGATGACCGAGGCGGCACGGTCAATCCAAAAGTGGACGCCAGAGGAGGGAGTGCTTATTGGCGTCGGCTTGGGTTGACGTCTCCGAGCATCCTATCATTCATAAAAATTATATGTTTTCTAATATATTTATGTTTTTATTTATATAAAATTATATTTAATCGTGTCATTAAAAAAAATTTCGTTTTATACTTTTTTAAAGGTTCGGAGCAAACGAAGGATGCGATGTGGGATCGACGACACTATCGGTTCGTCCGATCAAATGCCTCCCTTCAACGTTGCGGATTCCGATGACGAGGACCCCATTCCACGGTCGATCGGAAGAAAGAAGGCAAAATCCATTGCCTTGGGTTCGGGAGGGTCCGGCTTTGTTTCTGTTTCTTCTCGCGACGAAATCGGTCAGGCAATGGTTGAACAACTTCGGGTGTTCAATCTTCGAGAAGAAGAGAGGTTGAAGCTAAAGGAGAAGGAGTTGAAGCGAAAGGAGCAGGCTGACGAGATCAAAATCATTGAAACCGACCTTTCTACGTTATCGGGTTTCAAACGGATGATCTACGAGCAAAGACAAAGAGAGATTAAGGCCAAATATAACTAACCTTAGTTTTTTTATTAATGTATCTTTTTTATTATTGTCGTTTCTTTTTTTTAATGAATGTAATTTTTAAAATTTTAAATTATTGTCGTTTCAATTTCTTTAAATTTAATGAATGTATTTTTTTATTATTCGTGTTTCAATATAATTAAATAATAAATTAATACATTCATTAATTAAATTTAATGAATGTATTTTAGAAGATGTGTATTTAAAAATGTAAAAAATGAAGGTTTGAAACCCTAGTTTGAAGCCCCGGGGCCTTAAACCCATTTCCAGTGAAATTTTGGTGTAAATTAAAGCTGATGTGGCAGAGAGAGAAAGTTTGAAGCCCCGGGGCTTCATGACCATTTTCAGTGCTCTTAGGGAACGCAAAAAAGTCAAGAGCGATTCTATACTTAACATTTTTGATAAGTATATGTGACGGTAGTCAATACTCAATATACCTTCTTCTTCGCTCCCAAAATATTTATCTAATTTTGACCTTTTTGTAGTCAATCAGGAGCAATTTTTTATCTATAGTTAAATAGAAATTATATGATAGATTAATTAGATAAAATAATATTTTGATTTTTTTTACAAAAAAAATCTATTAATATTTAATGATTTAAATTTATGATTAAAACTTATCCTTTGTAACTTTAAAACAAAACATTGCATCATGTTTCTATGAGGAACTCGTCCAAAGTAATTAACTAAAGGAAAACGCTAATTAGTCATTAGTATTCTCATAAATACGGAGTAATGTTTTGACCGTCCCCCCAACACAGGAAGCTTAAATTCTCCTCATATTAAGGGGGTAATGAATAGAGGCATTAAGACGGATTTTAATTACGTAAACCGCTAGTACTTGATAATCGGAAATAAATACGTACCAGCATAGAATAAAAGTACTAGTGATTAAAAATATTCTGGAGTATTTAATTCAACAAAAAATTTAAAATATTATTACGGTTGACATAACAAATTACAATCGTATGTGTACTTTGTGTGTTCATAGACGACTATCATCTGTCTGTGTATACGAATTCACAGACAATTAACATTTGTGATATGTATGATATTTTCTCCGTCTCTAAATATATTACAAATTACGGGTTATGAAATAAAATTTTCTACTTTTTGAAATCTTTTTTTTTTGCAAATTGGTATATCAATAAGATATAAAAATTACATATTAAAAAACTACATCAAAAGTTCTACAAAACAGAAGGTGACAAGAATATTTTATTTTATCAAATACTTAATGAAATCGCATAAACAAACAAAAGTTATCGAGATGAGAGCAAAAAATTGTAATCTATTTAGGGACGGAAGAAGTACAATGTATTGATCAGTAATATTTATAGAAATAACCCTAAATTGGAGTAAAAAAATAGAGAAAATATCAAAATAAGAATTTCATGTTCTTATTCTCTAAATATGAGTTTGCATTGTCATAATGCGACACTATACATGAGCATTTTACTAAACTTTTGGTGATGTACATGATAATGATTGGTAATGTAAATACATTTTAACTCATATTTCAAGAATAAAAACATGAAACTCTTATTTTAGTATATTTTCAAGTTTTTGCTTCTAGTTAACTCTTATTCTCTTAATATTTAAGATTTTTTTGAACTATTATCTCTATAAATAAATTTTCACCTTTTATTTTCATTCTGTCGATGAGACTTGACATTTTTAAATTATACGCTACCAAACAGTTAAAACTAATTTAAAACGATGTTACCATATAAACTCACACATCCATTGAATATTCTTTGCAGTTATGAAGATCCAATTTAGAAAAAAGCATTTGCATTTTAAAAAGATACGGAGTATTTAAAATGTAATAACATTGGTTTAGTATAATATTTTAAAAATTAATTTATACCATTAAAGGAGTATCCAAAATGCAATCTCTAATTGAAAATGTCTTTTCAAAACAAGGTTGAAGAGCGCCCCCAACACTAAAGCTTAAGAGCATCTCCAACCATGCTTGTTATTTTAATTTGCTATTTTTACATTATAGCAAGTGAATAGTGATATAACAAGCACTTTTTTGCTTTATTTTCCAACCATAATTTGTCATTTTAAATTTTAAGTATTGGCTAGCTAAATTTTGAGAGACTTGTCATATTTAACAAACCAAAGTTATTTTTTGGCAAACTTGCTAAAATAAAGCATGCCCTTTGGAGAAGAACAAAAGCGTTTAACTAGTTATATTATAACTTTTAGCAAGTTAAAATGATATGGTTGGAGATGCTCTAAGGTTTCATTTGAAAACCCCGTTTTGTGATATAATTAGCGGGTACATTTTAATAACCTTTTGGTGAAAAAATTAACTTAAAAAATACTCACACTGAAATTAAAGTTGTCATTACATAAACATTTCTAAAACGTTAAACCTAAACAATAAAGTTATTGCCCACAGCTTCATAAATCTTCCTCATAAAAAGAGCTAATGAATTGAGGTACAAAGAGAACTACCAATACACAATTACATAAACCGTTACAAAATAATCTTTACTATAGTATAATACGGAGTAACTTCAAATTTTAACACGATAATAACTGTCCGTGAATTAATTCATCCGTTTATAACCATTAATTAAGGAGTAATTAAAAAAATGTTATTTCGGAATCAAGAATATATATATGGAAAATGCTTGGTTCACAAACTCAATGGTCACAAACTTTATATATATAGATACACAAAATCATGACTCTTGTATTTTAGACCGGATAATAAACAATATATACGGAGTAACACATGCTACATGATTGGCAATATTTTGTCTATATATAATATCCACACTTTAGTCTAAAATTCTCATATTAATAAACTCAACCTTCATAATAATAACAATAATAATAATTTTTATTATTACATTGTGGAATTCCATTCCATACTATGGAGTCTTCCAAGCATTTTCGTATTCTTCAGTTCTTGATCTTCTGTTATCTATTAGTGACGCCGTTAAGCCTCCGTGCGTATCCAACGAAGCAGGAATCCCCTGTGGTGCTGAAGCTGGAAGCGAAGCGTGTTCCCGCAGCAGCCTCACCGCCGTTAACCAAGCTTCCGTTTAGCCATAACGTGACTTTGACGGTCAGTCTCGCCGTGGGCTCGCCCCCACAGGAAGTTACCATGGTCCTCGACACAGGGAGTGAGCTCTCCTGGCTCAACTGTAAAGCGAAGACACCAAACGCGCCCTTAGTTTTTGCTCCGACGCTCTCCAAGTCTTATTCTCCGGTCCCCTGTTCTTCTCCGACGTGCATGACCCGGACCCGAGATTTCACCGTGCCCGTTTCCTGCGACCCGAATAAACTCTGCCACGTGATTCTCTCCTACGCCGACGCTTCCTCCGCCGAAGGCAACCTCGCGACGGAGACTTTCCGGGTCGGGAATTCGGAGCTTCCCGGAGTTGTATTCGGGTGCATGGATTCCGGGTCGAGTTCGAACCCGGGCGAGGACGCCAAGACTACCGGGTTATTGGGCATGAATTTAGGCGCCCTGTCCTTCGTTTCTCAAATGGGTGTTCCGAAATTTTCGTATTGCATCCCGGGTGGGGCCGCCGCCGGCGTTCTCGTATTCGGGGAAGCCAAGCTCCCGTCGATGAAGCCGCTGAGCTACACCCCGTTAGTCAGAGTATCGACCCGATTACCCTCTTTCGACCGGGTCGCCTACACGGTCCAGCTGAAAGGAATCCGGGTTTCCGGGACGGTTCTGCCAATACCCGAATCCGATTTGAAGCCGGACAACACCGGTGCGGGTCAAACCATGGTGGATTCCGGCACCCAGTTCACCTTCCTCCTCGGTCCGGCCTACACGCAGCTGAAAAACGAGTTCGTGAAGCAAACCACAGGGGTACTCAGAACCTTGAACGCCCCCAATTTCTTGTTCCAAGGGGCAATGGATCTGTGCTTCCTCTTCGAATCAACTCCGACGAGTTTCGCGGCGGCGTTGCCGGCTGTGACCCTGATGTTCGACGGGGCGGAGATGAGCGTCGGCGGGGAGAAGCTGCTGTACAGAGTTCCGGGTATGACCCGGGGAAAGGACCAAGTGTACTGTTTCACGTTTGGGAATTCGGATTTATTAGGGATTGAGGCGTATGTGATTGGACACCATCATCAACAAGATCTGTGGATGGAGTTTGATCTTGCAAAATCAAGAGTGGGATTAGCTGAGGTTAAGTGTGATTTGGTGAGTCAAAATTTGGGGTTAGGGTTGTAGAAATTATTTCTGTTTATGGTTTATTACTATGTCTAATTAGGAATAGAAAAAAAATTGTATTAGGGAGTCACAATATTTATTTCTTCGTCTCAAAATAAATTCTTCATCACAACGTATATCTCTTCTATGAATAAAATATTGACTACACATTTTTTATTTATTTTTTTAAACTTTGTTAAACACTCTGAGGTTAAACTACATCATTTCTTTGGAGACGGAGTCGGGATAATACAGAGTACAAGTTTTATTTTATTGATCATTAAAATTTGTCTTTGACTCTAGTAAATCAATCCAAATAATATCTTTGGATGATTATACTCTCTCTGCCCCATAAAGAGATTTTTATATTTTCACTGTGTTTAAGAAAAAAAAAGGAATTTTGTGCTAAGAGATTATGCAAATCAGAGAAATAACATGAATTGCTCACGGAATATCTTTCCACAGATTCCATATTTTAAAATTATTTCAAAAGTTTTACTCCCTCTTTCTCAATTTTAATCGACTGTTTTGGTTTATGATATTTGACTGAAATTATTTTCAAATAAACTTTTTTAACAATTGGTTGTAATTAAGAAATGTAATTTACATATTTAAAACTTCATAAAAAATCTATTAAACAAGAAGTGACATGATCATATTATTTTATCAAATAAGTAATGAAAATAACGAAAAAATGAATGAAATTTGATCACAATTCACAATAATAATATATAAATAATTTAATTTCAAAAAAAGACCGTATATAATAAAAGACGATAAAAAATTCTATTTTATAAAATAATCAATCTTGACAAAAAAAGTTTAACAAAAACATACTCGTATAAAGAAACAAAACACATCAAATTAATTGAGACGATAATCTTAAGTCATATAATGTATATAAGGATTACAAAAAATGATAACATTAGGTGTACTCACTACATTTGTATATCGAGATTTTTACCCACAGACGCTCAATGTTGATGGGTACGCATAGATTGAGTGCTTGTATATATGTATGTAAAACCTTGATTTACAAATGGGATATAGTGTACCCTATCATTGCCCATAAAGGAAAAGAGGCGTGTATAAATGGAAGGGTAAATCAAGCAAGCACTAATGCGAAGAGAATCTTATTTGGTCATTTTTTGGGTCAGCAATACACTTTGATCATTGCTCTGCATTTGTTTGTAGCCTTATTTGTCTCCCTCCCTTTCAAACTGATGTGATGACATCAACGACCCACATAGAAGCTCAATTCAAATAACCCCCAAGTCTATGTACAAATGAAGGGGGTGTTTGTTTTTCTGCCAGAAGACTTTCTGGCGTCTTTTGTCTGCGCCGCGCAGATGATGGGCTCTCCAGATTGTTTGTTTTTTGGAAGACATTTCACTCAAAAAGATCTTCCAGACATCTTCTTGGAGAAGACATTAACCAATGTCTTCTAACATCTTCTCTTTTTTTCTACTTCTCTTCACCACCACAACCGTCCACCGCCACCGTCCACCACCACCACCGTCCACCATCACCGTCACCGTCCATCACCATCGTCGTCCACCACCACCGCCACCATCCACCGCCACCACCACCACCGTCCACCACCACCGCCGTCAACGTCCACCACCACCACAATCGTCCATACACCACCACCGTACACTATCACCATTAATTTATATAGCAGTCTACAGACATTAAAAAAACAAACAGTCTTCTTCTTGCAGACCGTAGACCTTCGGTCCACCACTTCTCCTGCAGATGTCTACAGTAGTGGTCCGCAGACTTTTTTCTGTAGAAAAAACAAACACCCCCGAAATGAATGAAAACCCTAATAAAACTTCTGTATTATCCTCAAAGTAGGGGTTCAAACTTAAACTTCTCTTAGTAGGATTTAGCCCCTCAACAAGAAAGGGTGGACACTGTGTCCAACGGACTAACTCCATTGCTCCATCTCTCACTCCATTAAATGCGCATTCCACTTCATAAAATTGTTTTAGGTGCCCTTCAATGAGTTTTATATCGGTGTATTATTTATAGTTTGGAAAAATTATCTTACAATAATCTCAACTCCCAACTTTAATACCTTTTTCAAAAATAATTTTAATAGTACTTGTTCAACTTATACTTCCAGTCCACTTTTCTTGTGCCTTAGGATTTTCTTTTTTGTTTTTTTGGCATAGAGCTAACAATGGAGAGATTGTGTGTTTGTTTATTTTAATTGTTTAATGGAGAAAAGTCTAATTATAGCGACTTTTGGTGGGCGTTTTTGAGGTGGGATTGAGCTGAATGGCTGATTTCTTATTCTCCATAAGAAAAACTCATAATTATCTCTGCAGATTAAAATAATTGGGAAGAATTTGTCTTCTTCCCATAATTAATGACTTCGTGGGATCGATGCATGTACATGTATCACCGAGTACAATTGAACTTTTGGCATTTTGCAGAGCCACGCTTGTCACTGTGCATTGACATCTTTGGTATTCTGTTTTCGATTGATCTAAAATTTTGTATTTTTGCATCTTACATTGTCATGTTTGTCACTGTATGTTGTAATTTTTAGCATTGTTTTTTCGATTGACACTGCATGAATTATTTTTTCTCCATGTAGCACCATGGCACTACACATGTGGGGCTTAGTGATGCCGACAACGTGCGACGATAACAGAAGCAAGGGGTGATGAAAGTGGCAGATCCTGGCGGCGGCAAACGGTGAGTCAACAACTCCTATTTTGGGGGTTTTGTGTTTTCACTCCTATTTTGGATTTTACTCCTATTTTGCTCCTTAACCAATGAAATGAATGAAAATATTGAAACCAATATGTATTCGAAACTACTCCGTAGATCATAATTTCGAGACAGAGAGAATATATATACGATAATGTTCCATTGATATTGAAATTCAATGTCAAACGGATGACACTCGCTCATTCGAAGCACATCCAGTGTTCAGTTCGTAAAATTATTAGTTAATGGCAAAAACTCAACACCCACATATGTGTTTGACGTAGCAGGAAGCAATAGATCAACTGAAAAATAATCTTTGTAGTATATTGAACTGTTACATCATATTGACAACAAAAAAAATTTGCATCAAGAAAATCTTCCTCTCCCTGAACGTGTCTTGAACGATGCTTCTGTTGAAGCGTTAATGCAATATCTTTTGAGGACCAGCAATATCTCGTTCAATTTGGCCCATTGCTTCATAAAATTTAATGCAAATAAAAAGAAATATAAGAGAAATAAAAGAAAATATGCTCCAAATTTCCCTACTAAATATGCTAGACCATAATAATCTATATATCAAACATAAAAGAAAGAAAAGAAAATATAGTCCAAATATAATTCTATCATATATACAAAACTTCCCTAAAGTTATTGTATATAAATGCAAAATATAAAAGTAATATATTTCTATCAAAAGAGTTTATTTGATTATTTTTTTCATACTATTTAATACTAAATGTCATGTTTCTAACAATTAAATTAATTTATATGATAACAAAAATAAGGTCTAATCATTTTCGGCAAACAGATTAAAATGATTTTAAAGAATAAAAATTAAAAAAAATAATTACATACCTTTTATTTGAGAGTAGACTGAAGAAGTGATGTGATATAATTTTGATGATTTGAATAGGAAAGAAATTCAAAAATGTATAGATTTAAAATAATGTCTTGGATAAAATTAAAACGAAATTATGAACCTTCAAAATTATGAATAAATACTACGGACTAAATTAAAACGAAATTAATAGCACTAAGAAAAATACACCCTCAATATTTATATAGAAATTCTTATTGCATTTTAAAGAGTAATAAATCAGCTACAAACATCAAACTCTTAACTTATAGTTTCTTCAAGTTTGTTTTCTTCAGTTTTTCAAGTTTTTTTCGTTTTCCAACTTTTCCAGTTTCTCCAGTTTTTTCTAGTTATTCCAATTTTTTCAGTTCCTTACAGTTTTTTCAACTGTTCTCATTTTATTCAATCTTTTAATAATGAGTCAAAAAATAAAATATTTTTCATGTACTCTAATTATTATTATAACTATAGTTTATAAATTAATTCAATTTTTATTTTTATGTTTCCCATGTTACTATTTTGTGATTCCTACACATTATTAATTTTTCTTTCATTTTTAATATAAATTATATGAAGTACAATTTTATTCAAAAAATTGTTCTTTTTAAATTTTCTTGACACTAAACTATGTTCGAAAAATTATGGATATTCTTAATCTAAATTGACATGAGGAAGAACATTGAATTTTTATAATTAATAATAATACTCTCTTCGTGCCTAATTAAATGACATGTAGAATATCATTCACGTAATCGAATTTCATTCACTTCCTTTACCTATTATGAATATAATAATAATAAAAATTAATAATAATAACAATAATAAGTAATTATTACTATTATAACAACAAGAATAACACTTCTAATAAGAATACAATGTAGATAGACTTAAATAATTTTTTGAAGCTCTTTTTCAGTTTTTCCTAGTAATCCAATTTTTCTAGTTTTTTCATTTTCTACTAGTTTTTTTCTAATTTCTTCTAATTTTTTTAAGTTCCTTTACTTTTGACATTCAAATCTTTTTTCGAGCACTAAAGAGCAGTCTCTAAATATGATAAAATTGTCAAAAAAAACACATCCTATTAACAATTTTTTATTTTGACACGACCTTTCTCCTTTCTCACATAAAATTATTATTTTTTGGTGATTTTGAATTGAGGAAAGACATTAATCAGGGACGTATTTTCTTCTCAGTTCATATTTTTTCTTTAATTTTTGTTGTCGAATCTGAAAGGACCAAGGACGAGAAAAACACAATAAATGATGCCAAAGGCCCAAAATGCGTTTTATATGGTATGTTTGGATTGGGCTCTCCCTTCAAAGGCCCAATATAGAGAGCTCTTTTAAAACGTAAAAATCGAATAATACTCATTTATTATTATGAGCCCGGTTCCATCGCCACTGGATTTCAGTGGCCACGGAAGCCACTGTCCCCCTACGAAGCTCCGTTCATAAAATTGATGATTCCTACCCTCCCTAACTCCCCGGTAAACCCCCCGCCAATTCCCGACCCAAACTAATCACTCCACCTACGTCAATTGCACCTCGTAAGTATAATTGACTTTAAAGTCAAAACTTTTGACTTTATACTTACGAGGTGCAATTGACGTAGGTGCGGTGATTAGTTTGGGTCGGGACTTGGCGGGGGGGGGGGGGGGG